ATTGGTTTTTTTTTACGTAGATTTAATAGAATTCCTATAATAACAGGGATTTATTAGTACGCGCAAAGTGGTTTCATAGGCTAGTCAACAATTTTCAATTTTAAAATTGATTAATTTTATTATGCAGACAATCAATCAACGAATAGTTGGTCCAGCTAGTTAATATAGTTAGTTTTTCAATTAACGATTTGGATCACTATTATAAGCAAAATTTAATATAAAATGTGATTTTTAATCTTGTTCTCGTAACTAATGTTTTTTGGTTAAATGGACCAATAGAAACAGCGAGAAGAAATTGGTTAAACTTGCAGAAGAAAGTCATCGCGATAGAAAATAAGTAAAATTTCGTTTTTTTAGGTTAGGGTCAGGATTTTGCCATTAGATTGGTGTCTAAAGATATTTCCTATAGCAAAATTTTACAAGGAAAGCTTTTAATTAATGCGCAGTAGGCAGTTTCATAGACTAAATTTTGGGTTATAGGTTTTGTTTTGAATTTTCCTGATCGTGTTACGTTACACATCTTGAGATTTGATTGGTCATGAAACCACGAATAATAATATGCTACGTACCAGATTGTGCTCCGGATGATCATGCGATCATTAATGATATCATCGATTATACTAGTAGTAATTATCGTTATTTTAAAGCTAATTCTTTCCTTTATTCATATTTCGCTTCATATATCGCTTCATATTTCGCTTCATATTTCGCTACACATTTCGTTTCACATTTCGCTTCATATAAATAAAAAAAAAATAATAAAATAAAATAATAAACAACTACTTGCCGGTATTGAAAAGTATACGAAAAAGCTGAATCATTATCATTGGACAAACTTGCTTCTTATTTCTATCAACGGAATTCTACTGGAAGGTTGAATCATTACGAAGTGGAGAAAAATTCGAGTACAACCAGCATCAGTACAATGAAGAAGCGTAGATCTCTCAAGAAAACATCGATCCAACTAAGGATTGGAATCGGTCAAAAATTTTTAGTCGATTAGTCAGTCGACTAAATCTGTTAATCGTCGACTGACTAAAAATCGACTAATCGATTATTCGATTAGTCGATTATTCGATTATTCGACTAATCGAATAGTCAACTAATCGACTAATCGATTATTCGATTAGCTGATTATTCGATTATTCGATTAGTCGACTAATCGATTATTCGATTAGCTGATTATTCGATTATTCGATTAGTCAACTAATCGAATAGTCGACTAATCGACTAATCGATTAGTCGAATAATCGACTAGTTGAATAATCGACTAATCGGTAGTTAGATGTTATATAAACAATAGTTAACCAATTAAATTTGCATATTAATCTTTGATTTAGTTAACTATATAGTTTATTATTCGATTATCTGATTAGTTTATTAGTTTATTAGTCGACTAGTCGACTAGTCGATTAGTCGATTAATCGATTAATGACTTTATGATTCCTATCCTTAGATCCAACCATAATGAAAGCACGTAAAAAAGAAAAACTTTCAAAAAAAAGAAAAGCATAATTTGTCAAAAACATTAACGCGAATAAACAAAATTAATAAAGGTTTTTAATCTTTCATAAACGTATACTATTATTATGTATTGTGTAATATTTGCGTGAAGCACATAATTAAAGAAATATATATGTTGTAAGTGGGAATGGGATTAAGTGGATTCGGAATTTCCAAGTTAAATTAAGGTTAGGGTAAGGGTGTATATATGATAAAATCAACCCCAAAATGCTGGGTTTATATAAAAATTCCGTTTCCACTTAATTCCGCTTCCACTTACAACATATACAATTGACCGTGTGCTAAATCAAACCAAAAATTTTCCGGATATTCATTCCGGACTGTCACATGATCATCCGGAGCGCAACCTGGTACACATTTTCGGGTTGCAGAAAAATAAAAACTATGACGTTATAATGCAGAAATTTATCCGGATCATCGTTGTGTTTCACAATAAAAAAAATTTTAGAATCGGGTAAATTATTAATTTCTAGCAAAATCTACAAAGCTCACGAAAAAATATACGCCATGGATTATGCTGCGATTCTAGCACTTTGTAGAGATAATTTATTAAAAATCAAACTTATGAAAAAAAAAGTATAAAACTTGTTGATTTTTGGGCTTGTAAAAAAAAAATAATAAAATCAAAGCTTATAACGCAAATTGATAATAAGCATTTTTGAATTAAAAATCTTAATTCAATTTTTCAACCTTCAAATTACAATTTTCAATCTTCAGTATTAAATAAAATCTCTTACAATTATTCAATATTTAATAATATTAAATACAATTAATTTGTCTTCAATATTAAATACAATTATTTAGTCTTCAATATTTTAAAAAAAATGTTTTCATATCTGATAGACACCGATTACCCATACGACCAAAATCCCTATTTTAATAATCGTCGTCGTCGTTACTATAATCCTCATCAATCCTACGCATACTCGTATCCATGTTACACACATCCTTTACAGTTTTCAAATTTCCACACTCCTCAAAATCGACATTTTCGTGAGTCATACTATGACCCAGAAAATATAGTCAATTTAGTCTCCGGTCTTAACCAAAATCATGAAGAAAAAAACCACCACGATAAGGAGCAAAAAAGAAATGGATATAGAAAAATAAAAATTCTCGGTCCTGATGATGAACCAGAGAATAAACATGAAAATGAACATGAGAATAAACATAAGAATAATAATGCTTTCACCAAACAACAGAATAATAATGCTTTCACCAAACAACAGAATAATAATGCTTCCACCAAACAACAAAATAATAATACTTTCACCAAACAACAAGCTGCCAAACAACAAGCTGCCAAAAAAATATATAACTTCCTAAAACATCAACCTTCGACACATAGAACTCGAAAAATCCTTGTAAGGCTCTTACATCTCCGAAATTTGCAAAACCTACTCAATTCCTTGAGTTCTCAAAACCAAAATTTCGGACCGCTTACTTTTACGAATAAAGATGCAGGAAAACAAATATTGCCAATTTCAAAAAACAATAAGATGCTTCTTATACAAGAAGACTCCATATTGAAAATCCTTGATCAATTGGATAAAGTGCAAAGTGAAGGAAATGAGATTGTTCGGGATAGAAGAAAAGAAATTGTTAAAATTGCCCAAAAAATGTTGGAAGAATTGGATGCTGAAAAAGATAGACAGTGGAAATTGTTTTGCGATGAGTTAGAAAATAATGAAAGCGTTGTAAATGAGAATAGTGAAAGCATTGAAAACGAGAATAACGAAAGTATTGAAAACGAGAATAGCGAAAGTATTGAAAATATTGATAATACAGAGGATAT